GATCTGACTCATGTTTCTCCTTATTAGAAAGCTATTCAACATTCTTCTGATCATGCTGTGCAATGAGAAAGTTCAGTAAACATTGCAAAAAGTCTTGAGAGCTCTCAACATACTGTCATTGAGATGCAAGTAGAATAATTTTCAGTAACATAAAAACTGAACCCTCCAAGTACCAATGTGTGGAGAGACTCAGTTTCTTGGTTTGTTGAGAAGAAATTTTAAAGGGAATTTTAGAGTATACCTAACAAATTAATTTTCCTATAATTTTGGGCAAGTTTATAAATTTGGCAAATTTGGGCAAAATTATAAATTTCCTATAATTTTCTTCTTTTTCATCTTATGAAAGGGTTCACCATTGTTTCATACGGCCCTTGAGTTAACTAGTTGAATTAAGATGAAAGGAAAGCACTTTATTCAAGTTTTTGCAAAACCTTTCCACATGAGTGAATTGAACTAGACACATTATGTCATACTCTGTAGACAGAGGGGAGCTCATAGGCCATTTATAGTCTATTTATTGGGTTCAGTGGACAAAGAAGGAAGAAGTGATACCAAACACTGTCCTTACACTCCACTCTAGCCATAACTTCAAGGTGGGACCCTGGGTGGCCTGGCCTCTCCCTGGGAGTGGATGGGGCAGGAGACACGGCCCCGTATTAGTCATCTCTCTTGGGTCATAGCTCTGACTGTTCTATACACCCATCTTCAGTTGCTTGTTCAACAGGTGAGAGTAAGGGGGTGAGTCAGAGTTTAATGAGTCATCTCAGTCAGCAGGGTGTGCAGTGCAGTGATCTTATCCTGGGGGCAGGGCTGTCTCCTTTCCTGTTCAACTCAGCTCTGAAGCAAGACCTACATCTTCCCATCCTCTTCCAGGTTGTTACTATGGATGGGGCTTCCTTCTCAATGACTTGACTTCCAAGTCCTGTTCATTAAAAGGCAAAGATGGTTAAAGTAGAGAATGTGGTGGCTAAATATTTGCTCAGCTGCTTTTATCTGGCTTAGTAAAACCAACAACCAAATCTTTTCTGGGTCAAGTAATGGTGACCAGCACATGATTTTGCTTTCCTTTCCTCATTGTGCAAAATGAGATATTCAAAAATAGAACTTTAAGAAACTCCTGCAGAACCATGCTTTGAGGAAGTATTTTCTGAGGGTAACAAGGCCTAAGGATTCACATGGATTGAGTTCCAAGCCAGTGTTTTTCAAATTTCAGATTTTTTTGGGGGTATACAAACTTTTCTTCCAGAAGTTTGATCTTCAAAAAGATAAAAAAAATTGACTAACCTTTAGCTAAGCTGACCAAGATAAAAGAGACTGAAATTACTAAAATTAGGAGTGAAAGAGGAGACATTACTTACTACAAAACTTTATAGACATAAAAAGACCAAAAAGGAATACTATAAATAATTGTATGCCAAAATATTAGATAACCTAGATGAAATTGACAAATTCTTAGAAAGACACAAACTATAAAAACTGATTCAAGAAGAAACAGAAAATCTGAATAGACCTATAGCATGCAGAGATTGAATTAGCAATCCAATTCAATTGCAGTCCAACTTCCCACAAAGAAAAGCTTAAAGGGCCAGCCGAGTGGCTCATTGGTTAAGAGTTGGCTTGGGAGCGCGAGCTCTGCGCAGTAGGGCCCCGGTTCGGATCCCACATGGGCCAGTGACGCTGTGCCCTCTGCAGCTAAAATGGTGAACTACAGCTCAGCCTGGAGCTGGGCTGCCGTGAGTCACCAGCGATGGCATATGCTGCAGTGGAGCTGCAGTGCGTGAATGGCCGGCAGCCAGTGTGAGCTGCCGTGAGCCAAGCTGCTGTGAGCAGCCATCCAATGGCCGGCAATCCATCTGCCTCAGCCGGGAAGAGCGCAATGATCACAATACCAACATGGGCCAGTGAAGCAACGTCCTCCACAACTAGACTGAAGAACAAAAGGACAGNGTTCATGTTCCCTCACTATTTAAGAGCAATGGGGAAGTATTTGCTTTACATTAACATCAGCAAACATCTGTGTGACTAACCGCATATTTGCTTTCAAAAGAGATTTGCATGTAATAAAAGCTATAATAAAACATTTCTGTACTTGTATTCTGGACATCTAAAATAATGGCGGATTAACAACAGACTCCCTTTTGAGAAAAGGGAATAATATATCAGGAACCAAGGATGAAGTGGTGACTCTAAGTCTGCCCTAAATTACTTTTTTATTAAAACCATGACATCTTTTTTTTTTCATTTATTAGCTTTTCATCTTGTAATATTTAGGTTTGTTTCCTCTCAGTCTATTTTGACTCACTTTGTGTATGACTCATGCTTTTCCCAGTGTTTTCATAATTAAAAACACCCAAACCTGAGTCTTTACTCCCTCCCATTGTTAGAAAGAAATAAAATACAAAGACTCTCCCATGAAAAACATGCAATAAGGTGAGGGTTTGCTCTTCATCAGCAAAAGCCAAAATATGGACACCCAGACTTACAAAACTGCTAAACTGTGATTGAAATCTTTTGGATAAAAAATAAACGCACAAGCAAAAATCCTAATTTGTTTCTTTTCCAAAACAATTAATTACAGGCTTAAAAAATAACAACCAGATAATTATTATTTTTTAAATGTGGTAAAAAACACATAGCATAAAATTTACCATCTTAACCATTTTTAAGTGTACAGCTCAGTAGTGTTAACTGTATTTATTGTTGTGCAATAAATATCTAGAACTTTGCATCTTGCAAAACTGAAACTCTATATCTGTGGAACAGCAACTCCCCATTTCCCCCTCTCCTTAGCCCCTGGCAACCAACATCCCATCTGTTTCTTTTCGTTCTTTTGATACTCATATGAGTGGAATCATAGGATATTTGTCTTTTGTGATTGGCTTATTTCACTCAGCATAATTGTCCTCAAGCCTCATCCATGTTGTTGCATGCAACAGGATTTCCTTTTCAAAGGCTGAAAAATACTCCATTATATGTATACATATTTTTTCTTTATCCATTCACCCATCAATGGGCATTTGGGTTCCTTCAACACCTCTTGGCTATTGTGAATAATGCTGCAATGAATGTGGATGTGCTAATCTCTCTCCAAGATCCTGTTTTTAATTGTGTTGTATGTATACATAAAAGTAGGATTCCTGGATCATATGGTAATTCTCTTTTTGATTTTTTTGAGGAACCTCCATACTGGTTTCCATAACAGCTATACCACTTTACCTCCGCACCAACAGTACACAGAGTTCCAATTTCTCCACATCCTCACCAACACTTGTTATTTTCTGGCCTTCCCAATGGGTGTGAGGTGATATCTCATTGTGGTTTTCATTTGTATTTATCTAATAATTAGTGAGGTTGTGTATCTATCTTTTCATGTGCTTGTTGATCATTTGTATATCTTCTTTGGAGAAATGTCTATTCAAGTCCTTTGTTCATTTTAAAATTTGGTTATTTGTTATTTTGTTGTTGAGTTGTAAGAGTTCTTTATGTATTCTGGATTTTAACCCCTCAATAGACACATGATTTGTGAATATTTTCTTGTTTCTGTAGGTTGCCTTTTCACTCTGTTAATTGTTTCCTTTGATGTGGATTTGTAAGTTTGATGTAGTCTGAGTAGTCTATTTTGTTTTTTCTTTCTTGTGCTTTTGGTGTCATATACAAAAAACCATTGCCACTCCAATGTCATGAAACTTTTCTCCTATGTTTTCTTCTGGAATTTTTATAGTTTTAGGTCTTACATTTAGGTCTTTAATCTATTATAGTTGGTACATAGTATAAGGTAAGTTTCCAATGTCATTTTTTTTGCATGTAGATATTTAATTTTCCCAGTTCCATTTATTGAAGAGATCCTTGTTTACCTGTTGTGTGGTCTTTTACCCTTGTTGATCATTTGGCCATTTATATGAAGGTTTATTTCTGGGCTTTCTATTGTGTTTCATTGACCTATATGTCTGTTTTTATGTCTGTACCACAGTTTTTTTTATTAACATAGTTTTGTAACATGTTTTGAATCAGAAAGTATGAAGCCTTTAACTTTATTCTTTTCCATGATTATTTTTGCTATTTGGAGTCCCTTGAAATTCCAAATTAATTTTAGGATTTTTTTTTTTAATTTCTACAAAAAATGCTATTGGGATTTTGATAGGGATTGCATTAAATCTGTAGATCACTTTGGATAGTATGGGACCTTTTAACCACATATTAAGTCTTCCAATCTATGAACACAGGATGTCTTTCTATTTATTTATGTCTTCTTTAACTTCTTTCAGCAGTGTTTTGTAGTTTTCAATATATAAATCTTTCATGTTTTTGGTTAAATTTATTCCTAAGTATTTTATTCTTTTTGATGCTATCATAAATGAAGTTATTTTCTTAAATTGCTTTTCAGATTGTTCATTGTTGGTGTATCGGTATGTGACCAATTTTTGTGTGTTGATTTTGTATCCTGTAACTTTGTTAAATGTATTATTCTGTCTTAAATTTAACATTCTGGAAATACAAACATTTTCATTGAGGATTTTATTTCATGAATCTTTGCTGGAACATTATTGGGTAATATAATAGATGACATCATCATCCTCTTATATTCTGAAGAAAATAAACATTTTTGTAGTAATTTTTTAATTTTTATTAAGATTTTATTGGGGAATTGGGGGAGGGGAACAGCATTGGGGAATTGGGGAAGGGGAACAGACAAGTTGCTGTCGTTTTATTCTTCACTCTAGTTGTGGAGGATGTTGCTTCACTGGCCCATGTTGGTATTGTGATCGTTGCGCTCTTCCTGGCTGAGGCAGATCGGTCACCTACCATTGGACGGCCACTCATGGCAGCTCTTGCCGGCTGCCTGCCGCTCACGGTAGCTTATGGCAGCCCCACTGCAGCTCCACTGCAGCCTACGCTGTCTCCAGCGACTCACAGCAGCCCAGCTCCAGGTCGAGCTGTTGTTCACCATCTTAGCTGTAGAGGGCAGTGTCACTGGCCCNTCTTAATCAACGTGCCATTCGGCCGGCCCCTGGCCTTTACTTTTTAAAAGAGGCCTGGGAAGTGAAATAAGAGATCCTTAGTAAAGGATACAATATTGACACATAGCTCCAATCATACTAAGTATTCTCCAGCACTTCTGTAACAAATAGCTATGACAATTAAAGACATCCTGTGACTGACTAAGCATCTACAAGTCTACACTAGAAGCTGTAAAATACAAAATGGGACTAAGTCATTCCACATAAAAAATAATTCACAACTGAACTCAGGAAGTGATGCCCGCATGATGATTATGTTAAAGATTATGTAAAATATGTAAACGTCTTACTTAATGCTAAAGAGTAATAATCACAGAAAATTAAGAGTGTACTGGATGAAACAGAAAGCATTAAAAAAACACTGAATTGAACTGAGCATTAACAATATTTTCTAAAACTGAAAAGACTTAGCTTGAAGGTCTACTTTTAATTCATGGAGTTCATAAAGAAAATATCCTAATTTTGCAGTTAAAAAGGTAGTATTTTACAAATTTCAATGAACTGAATTATTTTTATTAAGTCTAGTAGCATTAAAAAAAATATATATATATATAATGAAAGATTCTGACCTGGTTTTGTTTTCTCGCATACAGTATCACTAAAAACACTGCTTTTATCCCGCTTTTCATCATCAAGGAGTGCTCTGACTTTGACACAATATACAGTTAGCGGTTTCAAGTCAGGGAAAGTAAAATCAGTTCTTTTCTTTACAATTTTCCTCTATAAAAAAAATAATATATCATTGATAAAATTTAGTCATCTCATGAAATCACATAGGGAACATCTATTTCTGAATTCTTTGAATACTCAATCTAAGACTGGCCTTTCCCAAACACAGATGGTGTATATTTTAAGAAATATCAATTTGTTTTGCACGACACATTATAACCAAATCAGGATGTTAAAGACGCTGCTGTCAAAAAGAAATACGACATAGTCCTAAGACAACTCTAATTTATACACGTGGCCTTAGGCAAGTTACTCCATCTCTATGGGCCCTACATCCAGACATGAAATACTGAGGGCAATTACTGCTCCTATCTGTGTTAGTCAGCTACTGCCGCCATCGTGTGTAACAAAACATAAAAGTGTTGTGCGACGTTGTGTGACAAAACATTCCCTGGCTCCGCGCATACTTCTTTTTCTCACTCCTAAGTGCCTCGACTGGCTGGGGAGCTCTCGTGGAGGCTGTGGTCTGGTTCAGCTCTGCTCGCATCGTCCTTGGACCAGACAACGCCAAGCATGCACAGCTCTGGGCGAGCAGCAGCACAGAGGCAAGCAGCGCCAGGCACACACAGTTACCGCCTCTGCGCTCACATCCCAACATCTGAAGCCCAGCCAGTGAAGCAGTAACGAAAACCCCATCCCAAGTATTTGCTCAACAGTCATTTAATCGACCATACTGTCTGGTGGGGTGGTTTTGAAGAATGATTGAGACAATTCATGGGAAATACTTCTTAGCACACACCTGAGAGTAAGTATGTACTAAACATGAGCTGCTATTATTACTGTCATTATTGATGAATAATCCAGCCTAGGATAGGATGGTAACTAACAGTTACAGAATTGTTATACAGATTAGGTTTCCCTGAACTGGGGACAACTGAGAACTGACCACAACTATCAATGGGCTAAATTATGTTACAGTGTGTTCAGATACTTAAAATGAAAGTAGCCAAATAACTGGAATTTTCTTAAGATTTCCAACAGAAAATGAAGTTAAAGAATTTACCAACTCAATGGCGTAAGATTTTTAAAGGTTGATTCCTTGACTGTAATTCCACAAGGAAAAGTGATCTAGGAATAATGTAGGTTATCTGATGCTGTGTATTATCTCTGTCAGGGCTTTTTTTTTTTAGTGTTAAACCAGTGTTTCTGAACCCTTTTTTCATGAGTACCCCAGGAGCCTTTCTAGATTTTTTTCTAATCCCCCCCACTACCCTCTCCCCGCACAATGAAGTTGAATACTAAGGAATAAGGATACTAAGGAGTAAGATTCTGTCTGGTAATGTTGAACTTTGGAGGCATGCTTTCCTGCTAGAGGGCCACAGAACATTGTAATACCTAAGATTCTTTTGCCCCCTAAGAACCAATTTTTGCCCCCTTGGAGGTATCCTGAGGGTACTTGGCATGACTGGAGGCAGTTTTGGTGGTCACAACTGGGAAGGACTGCTCTGGCACCTGGTGGGCAGAGGCCAGACATGTTGCTAAGTCTCCCACAATGTGGAGGTCAGCTCCCACAACAAAGAATGACCCAACCCAAATGTCAACAGTGTTGAGAAACAGTGGTTTATGGAAATACTGGGCAATCGTGTTAATAATACAAATTCCTGAGTTCTATCCCCAGGTATTCTGACTAAGAATGGGCTCAGGAATCTGAACTTTGAAAACACGCGGAGGCCCAGGTGCAGGTAACCTGTAATTCTGCCATGCGAAACATGGGAAAATGCCGTTATTTTTCCTATTGTAAATATCTGAGTTAATCACTGTCTGTAAGTTTAAACATTTTCCCTATAATTTTAACGTCAAGCTTTGTTTTAACCCCATCAATTGTAACTCTAAATTACGGAATTACACTACATAGTCATTTTACCTCAGCATTTGAAGTGTTTTCCCAAAAAGTAATTTCATAAATGAGCAGGTAATGCGGGTACACTGGCTTGTTTTGAGAGGCTTTTGGAGTACCGATATAGACACGCAGTGAGTTATTAATGGGCTTCAGATTAATGACTGGAGGAAGTATGAGAGCTAGAAAAAAATTGTAAAGACACAATATTAGTTTAGATTAGAAAAACGATTTTAAGAATCTGTACCAAATTGGAGAAATACAATCTAAAGTAAAAACTATTGGCTTACTTTGTATGTCAATATCAAATTTTTCCTCTTTGGACCAAAAAGATGTGCTATTTCCATCGGACGCTTGTACACGGATATAGTAAATTCCATTTGGGAAAACATTTTGAGGAAAGACACACTGGGTGATTCTGACATTCTCACAGTTTTGTATTTGTTTCCATTTTCCTGAATAGTCCTCAGACATCTTTTTAAAATGGGCACTTTTAAGAAAAAGAATAATTTTTTTTTTATTCCAAACACATTAATAAATATTTTTATTGGGTACCTATGATACGGGAGACCTCCCTCACTATAGAATTTTTAAGCCCCCTCACTATAGGCATTTTAAGTCCCCTCAATATAGAGCTGTAATCAGTGTAGCCCAACATTCCCCCAAATTCATCCCTTATCTACCCTAAACATTAACCACTGATAGAGGCCACCATGACCTCCACCTTACCCTAGGCCTCATTATACCATTATTATTATATCATACAAATGCCCAGTTCATTAATATCATTATAACAGACTGAATTCTGGGAAGGGACATACACAGTCTAAGAGGATGAGATAATAGCCACTCATCAATCACAGGTGTCAATCAAATGGTCCTGCGCCCTGAGGGGAACAGTCCATCCCAGAAAAGAAAGGATAAAACCCCCAGGCTCCTGTTAGCAAGTGCCCTTTGAGCGTTTTGAGCCTTTCCTCTCCCCTGGGCCCCACTTCAAACTCTTTGGCGTGTACTTTCTCTTCTAATAATGACCCTTGAGCCACTCTACTGCTCAGGCCCGCTTCTACTTCTTTGAAATGTACTTTTTCTTCTAATATATTGGTTTTTCACCACTTTACTTCTGTGTCTCATTCAATTCTTTTCTCAAAATGCCAAGAGTCTGGACATCGCGCCGGGAAGAGCCCACTCTNGTGGAGAGCGCAGCTCCTTGACCCATGTGGGAATCGAACCAGCAACCTTGGTTTATGAACTCTGTGTTCCAACCAACTGAGCTAACCGGCCTCCCCTAAACTGTTCATTTCCGATCGGTGCATTACAGCGATTGTATTGCACTGCGTTTCTACGCCCTCGTTTCCCATCATCCGGTATTATTTTGAATTAAATCCCAGATATCATATTACTGCATCTATAAACATGTCAATATTGCTTCATCTACAAATGTTTCGACATGTGTCTTTAAAATACAAGGAACCATGATAGCATTCTCTCACTCAAAATAAATTCATAATTCATATTATAAAAATGCAGTTAGTGTTAAATTTTTAATTGTCTCATAAACGCTGTAACTTTCTCCATTTCGCTGACGTTTGCTTGTTTAAATCAAAATTGAAAAGAGATAAACTCTTGTACTTTGCACTTGATTTGTTAATAAAACCAGCTCGCTTGCCTTGGAGACTTGCTCCAGCCTAGAGTTTGCCAATCGCGTCTGCATGGCATCAGGAAGCATGCTTTTGTCTGCCCTACATTTCCTGTAAGTTGGTAATTGGATCTGAGGCTTGATCAGATCAGGACAGAATTTTTGGCAAGACTTCTCCACAGATGGTGATGTGTTCCTCCAACAGGAGTTGCGTCATGTCTCTTGGGATGTTCGGAGCTGTTGATGTATAGCATCTAAATAGAAATAATCTTTTATGTAAGTTCACTAAGTAGTTTTTGACCATAACTCAGAGAGAATTCAAAGACTTAAGTGGCAGTAACACAAGAAAACTCCTTCCAGGAGTTCCTTCTATTGTCAAGCTTCAGCTCAAAATACGGAAAACAGGACCGGAAAACAGGACCGGGGGAAGTGTTGGATCCTGTCTCTATCTGGCAAGACGTAGCATTTATCTGCAAGTACCGGCACTCACTGAAGGAAGAAACTCCATCCTCTTCCATAAGTCATGTGTTTCTAATGAAATTTTACTTCTTTTGCTTAAGAATGATTTATCAAAAGTTATGAATATTTATGTTTCAATCAAGGGTATGCTGCTAATAATTGCGATGATAATTGGATCCAGGTGAAAGTTGTTTTCAAATTTTTAACTTTTCCTGCCCACTCACTTTATTGGCCCTTTCTTCCCTCTTGTAGCACTGGTAATAGGAAGTGATGCTTTTGCAGGGGTGTCACCTTCTTTGTCTGGCAAAATGTCATTAACCCATTTACATTTCCAGAACAATATAACTATTTGATCATAGGAAGGATACAGGTGAAAGTATTGCAAGGTTTTGCTGCGAGCATTGCAGCCTCTTGTGGACACGTAGCCCCCCTCGCAGTGAAGCAAAAGGCATATTATAACCTGATTTCTCAGCTGAGAGCTTTTTTCTCTTTTTTCACGTTTAGAGACTATGGTCATAGAAATTAGGTATAGAAATACCATATCAGTTTATATACTTTTTGTTGCAAAGATGTACGGTAGGTGATCAATAAACACATTACATTAAGAAACATCTCTGGGAAAAAGAATACGAATTCAGGGAGAAAAAGGAATGAGGCAAATTTTAGAATCAATAAAGAAGAGTTTCTGTAATTTTNTATAAAGAGAAATAGTCCCAACCTTAGGAAATTCACCATGCATACACATTTTAAGAAAGGAAAAAACTCTTAAAATTCTAATACTCAATATATATCAAAAACAAAAGATGAATGCAAGTCACGTTTGACTTCTGCAATTACAAGAGGTGCTCAAAGTGGTTACCATCAGCGTCCAGACACTTCTGATTATGGTGAACTACTGCTTGAGCAATGTCGACCAAAGTGTCCATTTGTGGCACCTCTGGTATATACAACACAAAAGAAAACCAAAGATCTTGTTCCAGAGTGTGATAAAGTAGTGGTGTGTTCGAGTTGGCTCATGCCAGCGCACAAAGACAGCTGTGAAGGTTTCAGAAATGCTGTGAGCCAGTTGTTAAACACAGCCATTAAAAATTAAGTAAACTTACAAGTAAGTAAACTGTATTAAAAAGAATAGTAACAAACACTCAAAACTCATCCTATCCTATTTTACTCCATTCTATTACCTATGCTCACGGCTATTTACATCTATTGTATCCATATGGTGGAAACACTGCATAATGGAGTGCTACCATGCATCGCGTCCCAACTCCATGTTCAGGGACATCATGTTAGTAGCTTGAAAGTGGCCATGGTGGGAGTATTTATATCATGAAAACTGGCAAACGCTACAAGTAAGGCTTTTCCCCTTTGGTGCATGTTACACATGCAGCAGCACGATGGTGGGTAAGTGCTATAACAGAGATATACACCACAGTGTTCTAAGATCACGTCTAAGCAGAGTGTGGGCACCTAACTGAGCCCGGGGAGGTCAAGTAAGTTGCTCAGAAACCAACAGCTCAGAGCATCTCAATTTAAGCCTGGAACTACCATAGCCTCTTAACTGGTTCCCTCGTCTCTAGTGCCCCCTTAGTCCATTGTACCATATACGATGCGGCCATCTTCACCTTCTTCAAACACAGACCTCATGCGGCCCATCCCACAACACAAAGTTCCCAATGGCACCCAAATGCCTACAGGATAGTCTGAAGCTAAGCCTAATATTATCCCATCATACTTATTCAATTTTCTCTCTCATTGCCCTCCCATGCCCAAATGTTCAGCTACTTTCAACTCAGGTCCTCCCCACCATGGTGGGCAAAATTCCAAGATGGCACCCAAGAGTCCTGCCCCCTGGTGCACACATCCTCCCTTTGAGTGTGGGCAGGACCCACAAACTCCTGGGAAGGTTCCATTATACAGCAAAGGTGAAGAGATTTTACAAATGAAATTAAGGTCCCAAATCAGTCAACTTCGAGTTAATCAAATGCGACAGTCCTGGGTGACCTGACCTAATCAGGTGAGCCCTTTAAAGAGAGTCCAGAGGTCAGAGATGCCCTCTTCTGATGACCTTCACGAAGCACACCACCACGAGTTCTACAGCTGGGAGAAGTGAGCTCTGCCAACAACCACATAAGCTTAGGAGAGAATCCCGAGCCTGGTGTGAGACCACAGCCCTCGCTGACGCCTTAAGTGCTGCCTGTGGGACCCTGAGCAGAGGACCTCTATGCCATGCCTGGACTCCTGACCAGAAGGCACTGAGTGATAATAAACAGTGTTTTCTAAGCTGCTAAGTTTGTGGCAGCCTGTTACAGGGCGACAGAAAACTAATACCTGTCCCTTACCCCAACCTAATTCTGTCTCTTCATGTCCTGCGCGTTCCCTTGTGCTACAGATCCCTGTCTAGGACACCCTCCTTGGAGCACTTGAAAATATCCAATTCAACAACCAAGGCCTTATTCACATCTCGTCTCCTTCCTAGCAGCTTCGCTAGTCTCTTCAGCCCCACCCACCTTTGCTTTCGATTTCTATAACCCTTATAACGTGTATACCATTCCTCAGTCCTACATCACACTTGGCTACGCCATGTCAGCTAACTGCTTTCGATTTCTAGAGCCAAGTGTCTTCATTATGCTGTATCTTTTCAATTCCTTCAGGGCTTTGTACCCAAAAGAAACTTTAAGAGACCAGCTATCAGAAACCTCTATCCCTCTCAAGCCTGTGGCCCCGTTATTTAACATACTTCTAAAAGCTAAGTATACACACAAGATTACTGGAGTTTCCTGATCAGTCTGAAATTACATACGAGACACTGAGGGGCACGTATACAGATGAATGCGTTTCCATTATACAAACTGTTCTTGGTTCAAAACTAACACTAAAGGACAGAGAAATGGATCACAGCAGTGTCAGCTTTCCTTCCCCTCCTTTTCTGTTTCGTTCTAGTCTGTCCCTTGTCCTTTCTTTCCTGCCTTTACCTATACTTGCTTTTGGTCCCTCTATTCCTCTGTCCTCGTTATTTCTCCTTCTTATCCCTTTTCTCTTCACTGCTCCTCCCATTTGATTTTCCTCGTCTCTTCTCCCTATTTGTCCCCTAGAATTTTCCATCAGTATAAACTACGTTCAGGTCTCTTTCACTACGTGGTGCTTAGACTTCGTCCATATTTGTCGCGTCTCCACTCGGCCACACAGAACACAGTTCTTTCCAACTTTCTTACATTCCCACTACAGTAACCACTGAAAAATTTGTCAAAACCACTAAAATGATAAAGAAAATGGGAAGGCTAACTTGACTTGAACAAGTCATGGTGACTGGACTGGGGTCATTTCAAGGACTCATGGAAGAAGTGAGCTCTGAAGAAAAGATCAAGCATTATCTTTTTATGCGTCAAGCATTCCAGATTGAGGAAGTAACACATGCAACTAGAATCACACTTCAAAAAAAAAAAAAAAGTTGGTAAAGACAGTAGGTATTGTTGGAATACACCCATTTGAAGAAACTGAGTCCAAAAGAGGTTAAGTCAATGTCATCCAGTTAGTTACTGGCAGAGAAAGAACTAGAATTCAATATCACATTTCCAATATATCATAACCACCTCTCGGTCAGTCAGCATGTGTGCAAGGATCTGCAGAGGGCTGCAGTGAGTGAAAAGAAGCATAAGAAACTGGGCAAAACAAACTGTGCCAAAGGAAATTTATGGAATAGAACTTACTGGAGCCACTGAGCTTGAAAAGTCATGTTTTCATATGTGTAATCCCATTTAAGAACATAGGTCTGATTTTTAGCAACCATTTGTACATTTTCCGGCGGAGGCAGTTTATTTTCAACTGGAAGACAAAGAGCACACAAAAAAGCATATATATTTAGTCTAGTGAGATAAGACGTGCTAAGAATTCTCAACAGCATGGGCAACGGCTTGCATTTTATCATGATGAGGCAGTAAGTAAGTTATGGTGTCTACTCACATAATGTAATACTATGCAGTCACTTAAATGAATACAGTAGACCTATATGAATGTACTGACATGCAAAGAGTTCCTCAACACAGTAGGTTAAATAAGCAAGTTGTAAGGTATTTCTGGCAGATATTTCTATTTTTAATGAATTAATTAAATTTTTTTTACAGTGGTGCAAGAGCAGTTTATTAGAAGTGAAAGTATACTCGAAAGAGAGAGGAGTGGGCTTGAGCAACAGCATGGCTCAAAAGGCCCCATTTTTTAATTTAAAACACAAAACAAGAAAACTGCATGTCTGTACATGCTATTAAGTCCTGGAAAAAGTCGGAAGGGAGCTACACAAACTGCTAACAATGCTTATTTCTGATAAATGGAAGTGGGAAATGGAAATGGAAGGAGGCAGGAGAGGAAAACTACTCTGATCCCTTCCCTATGGTTTGATTTAAAACACAAAGCGTATTAAATTTATAATTAAAATAATTTATAATTAAAATAATATAAGCTCCTACCTGTGACCTTAATTGTTGGCAAGATGTCACTGATAAATGTATCAGGATGCTTTCACGTGTTTTTTTTTTTT